GGCAGCAGAAGAGAAAAAGTCGCTAAAAGGAAAAAAAAAAAAAAAAAAAAAACAGGAGTCCAGTTCTCACCGGTTTGTCATCATTAATGAAACAAAGATTTCAAACGTCTGAACTGATGCTGGAACTGATGGTAGAACTGATGGTGGAACAGTTGGTGGAACTGATGGTAGAACTGATAGTAGAACTGTTGGTAGAACTGTTGGTGGAACTGTTGGTAGAACTGATGGTGGAACAGTTGGTAGAACTGATGGTAGAACTGTTTGAAATACGTGAGACTGTGAAGTAAATTCACTGTAAATAATCACTGCTGAATGACATACACGCACATGTACGTGTACACATACACGTTATATTCTATATAGTTTAATTATTTCAAATATTTGTAAAAATGTGTAATTACTTATAAATGAACTATAATATGACATAATGTGACCTTCAGTTTGATTTCACCAGTATCGTCTCTTTTATATCCAGTTGAGTCAGTCCTGACATCTGTCGCTTAGAAGTACGATTTTCTTACGCTTTCCTGACATAATAAAATAGAGTAAAATAAAACATCAGACGAACATGGATCAAAAACACTGTTGTTCTGAACATCTGCATCACTGCAGGATCCCAAAATCCGACACATCGTCGTCGTCGTCGGTCGGTCGCGTTCAAAGGAAGACGTACAACTGTCGTCTTTTTCTTTTAACTTCACGCGTTAACTGCGTCTCCGGCGCTCAGACATTCTTGGGATAGGCGGCAATGACAGCTTGACGCAGAGCAGACGGACTGAAGGCTGGAAGTCACAGCTGCTACATCTGTTAACACAGTTCTGCTGTGAGACTGCGTGAGAAGATGCACGCCCCCTGGTGGTTTCAGAAAAAGTAGATCAGTGGGGCAGCGAGGAGCGGCGGCGCTCCGTTTCCAAATGCGGGGACACACCGTCGGTGATCGTCTCCGATTCTTGATCCGGAGCCCCTGGTCTGATGGGCGGAGTTTACTTTGACCATATATGGAATCTGTGTTTTTATTGGCCTGGTATTTGTGGTTTGTCGGTTCAATTCCAGGCATCATTAGTTATAGATGCGCATCTATAACAGTGGAAGTTCCTGATCTCGTCAGACCAAGTAGAGATGTTGTCAAGGCAGGGGTGTCAAACATAAGGCCCGTGGGCCAAAACCAGCCCGCTGGGGTGTTCAATCTGGACCGTTTGATGGATTTTGAAAGTGAAAAACTTTTGACTTTTCCTCTCTGACTTTATCTCTACACTGCTCCACCGCTCCGATCTTAGCCTGGAGTCTGTAGACCTTACCTCACAGCAAGTCAGTCACAAATCAAAGTTTGTGCAAAATTAAATCATAACTCGAAATAATTTTTTTTCCAATTTTATAATTTTTAAAATGCCAAACAGGAGCTGTCACTCAGAGTAACTCGGTTCAGTAACAGTACCAGTAACAGTACCAGTGACAGTGCTGTGCTTCTACTGTCATAAATATTTAAAGAGCTCTGCTTCAGGGACCGTCTGACAAATTTAATTTTCTCAGTTTATACTGGATTTACATCAGTGTTCCCTACAGTACGAGGAAGTGACAAACCACCGGTTCAACTGTGACCTGCACGACCTCCTCACCCCTGGGAGACCCCCGGAACATTCTAGCACAGACAGACTGTCCCGCGGTGCAGGGCGGCCTCTCATTAAACGGCAATTTGTTAAAGACCAATTAGCATGTAAAGTGATCTGTGTGTGTGTGTGTGTGTTAGAGACCGACTGCGTGTACAGTATTTCCTGGGAGACCGCCGGCAAAAAGAGGGTCATTTATCAAGGTGACTGCACTTGTCCCACCTAACTCCCCCTCCTCGTCGCTCTGTCATGGCAACCCTGAGGAATGACTGCCCCCGGTGGGCGGTGATGAGGGCGGCTGTTTGAGCAGAGAGTGCAGGGAAGTGTGAGAGGAAGACGAAGGTGTCGGCAGGGAAATCTGTGAAGTGGTGTGTGTTTGTGTGTGTATAAAACCAACACTGAGCTGCTTTTTTTATGGGATTTGAACGATGACATCATGGAGGTCCAGCTGTCAATCAAACACTACGCTTCTCTTATAGTACAACTTTCATTAAAAAAAAGAAAAATATTTCTTTTATCTTTTAGATGTTTTGTTGTTTCTTGGAAATAACTGCATTTACAGCATAGATAATACATATATACACTGCCATAGGTGAAAAACCACAAAGTAGAAACGCGATAGTTACGATATTATTTACGTATATATTAACCCTTTACGAATCCTTTAGGAGACATCGTTTACCCGTACGTATGGGTTATTTATTATGTGTTAAAAAACGTCTTAAGTATTAAATTTTTTCAGTAAAATTCAATTTTTGTCACGAAAATATTGGAAATTTGAATATTTTTATATGCCGGAAAAATCCGCAATACAAGAATACATTTAAAATGTAAACCCACGATGCACAGAGGGCGCAACCTCTGAACCGTACTGGTACTGGTACTGGTACTTGTACTTGTACTGTTTCCCATCCAGGCTCATCCTTTTGGATGTGGCATCAAGGCTGACATCAGGAAACTCTATTTTCTCCCTGTCTTTCCATCATAGTCTGCTGTAATTTGGAATACTGGAACAAACTGTCTCCCATTACAGATTCTTGGCCCATTTTCATCAGCTTTTTTTTTTTTTTTTTTTTGGTAATGTACAGTTGATCTTTTTTTCCTGCGTCTGTGCGGAGGAGCTGTCAGACAGTCGGGACGGTCGTGTGGATAAAGTGGAACATTTCCAACCATGTGTACGACTGCTCTGACGTGACATCATCTAATCTGGGGTAGACTGCTGCGGGGGCTTATGGGTAATCTGTTTTGTTGTTGTTGTTGTGATTTGGCTGGTTTATCTACATAAACATGAAACGTTAGACCGTGGCGTGTCACCAACATCCGTTCTGGTCCTCTCGTCTTTCCTCTGGTCCTGCCGCCATTGAACGGGTCGTTCTTCACAAAAACTCAGACACAATGAGGTGTTGTCTCCCCCAACACAGAGAAAAGGGTGTAAATAAAAGACCTGGGCACAGAGGAGATGCTGAAGATTACTTTTGTGTACATGCAGATAATGACTTTTTTTTTTAGCAAGCTATGTTGACTGATCTTCAAATCAAAAGCTTTCCGCGTAGCGTAAATAACACAGACAGTGGAACAGAAAGTGAGCAGAGCTTTCTTTACTCCAATAGAACATTTCAACTGAAAACACCTTCACCTGCTTTCCTCAAACCATCTGTGATTTTTTCGATGGAGTTTGGTGCAGTGTCGCAAACTGAAACGTCATAGAGATAAAAGTAAATTCAACAAATAACCACATTCAAACAAACCCCTGATAAAACCCGTGAGGCACCGGGACGTTACCTGGTGGAACTCCTGTAACAAATGTAATCTCACTGACTGTGATTTTGTCAGTTATTGTCAGTGATTGAATTGTTATTAGTCTTCCTTCACAGCTTTGTTCCGCAGTTTCATTAGCAACAACTGCCAACTTTTACCTCTCTCTACCGTCTCTTTTATTCGTCCTCCGTTTCCCCCCCGCAGCCTCTCAGTCGCTGTAACTCTGTTAATGGTTTTAGTTCTGTATGTGTGTAAAAAGGTGGAGCAGGGAGAGAGAGAGAGGCAGTGAAGAGGAGTTGTTTCAGCAGGGGAGGAGATGAAGAAGACGCAGCTTGATGGATGTTAGACGGAGGTGAAAAGAGAGGAGGATGTTAGAGTGACAGTGGGGGAGGAGGGGTGAGACGGAGGGTGTAAAAAGCCCAGGATGCTCGTACATCTGCAGTGCGTTGGTGTTGTTGACTTAGTAACATTTTCCAAAGATGGCCTGAGGCAGATTGTAATTTATCAATAAAAACCTTCTTCTTTTTTTTTCCATGTCAGGAAATGACATTACTGTGAGGAGCCTAAGGTTCGCTGCCAGTCTTAAACCTAAGTACCCAGCGTCTGGGCGGATTATTGGTCACAGCCAGATCCTGGTTCAAACTCAGCACTGCAGCGCTGACTGGAAATGACCTCGAAAACCTCACACTCACTGACATTGTGCACTGATTGCTCTGTTCTCATGTGACCAAACGGAGAAAAAACAAAACAACCTATAGCTGCATAGAACGGTGTCAAGTTCAGACATACTGCAGCCGTAGTACTTTTTATACTCAAAATATACTCATAATTTTGTAACATTTTCCAAAGTTAGTCTTGTTTAACTCCCTGTCAACGGTCAATCTGAAATCACTGACATTTTTGACGGAGTATTCGGGCAAAAACTTGGAATGGAACTGTATTCCCTCAGAGAAAAGACGGAGAAATCCCATCTGAACGCATTAAGACTGGATCTAAGACAAACCCAAACTTTAGTTACGGATTTTAGTGACATCATCAGCATAAGTGGAAACTCGAGATGATGACGACTGGATCAGGAAAACACAACAAAACTCCGTGCTGCCTCGTCTGCTGTAGTCAATCCTGAAAAAGGATGAAGAAAACTAGCTGTTTTTTTTTAAATAGTTTTGAGTGACATCACAGAAAATTAGACTCAAAACTATCGTCTTAAAAAACCACTTAATGGGTAAAGATTTACAAACTTTGTTCAAAACCAAATTCGATCTCACACTTAGTAGCATTTTCTCGACTGTGGGAAGAAGAAAACCTCCAGCAGATCCAGACTCAGTGCTGCCCTCTGCCTGGGATTTTGTTTGGTTTCTTCTAACCCAGCCGTCCCCCAAGTATGAAATGAAGACAGTAAGATACGAGTGGATTTTCTTTGTACTTCAGTAAATTAGTAAAAATAAATTATATTTTTTTATTGTGTCCTACTGCGTCCCGGTACCAAATTATCTACGGCTCGCTACCGGGCCCACGGACCACAGGTTGGCGATCCCAGTTCTAACTGACTTCATCAGTGTTATTTCTACCCAGCTCTCATACTCCATCAGTTGGTCTGTTTTTTTTTTTTGTTTTTTTTTTTTCTTGGGGTTCTTTTGACTTTCCATGAGTGATTTTTCAGTCTGGTCGTCCCGCCCAAACCACAGTTTTCTCTCTCTCTCTCTCTCTCCGTCTCTCTGTCTCTCCTTTAGAAAGGACGGGGCAAGGTCACAAACTGCCCCACCCTTTACAGTAGTGTAGGAACATGACACTTAAACACACACTGACACACACATACACACAGACAGGTACGCACACACAGCTCGTTTTACCTCGGCCTCCACAAAGCCTCGTGGGAAGAGTGACATCATCCACCTCGCTTTTTTTTTTCACAGCTGTCAATCAAAGAAGACAATCAGGTCACAGGGTTAAATCCCTCCCTCTGTAACTCTGTGCTGAAAAGACTGTCCGTCAAAGTCCAGTATCGTATGACTGCAGCTGGATGTATGGATGTATGTATGCCGAGTGGACGGGCGCTGATCCAATGACCTGCAGGGACAGATGTGAAGGGACCGCGGTCACTTTTTGTCTTCCTGAACTGAAACAGTTCTGAATCTGTGATCATTTATACCCAGATACTCTGGAGTCAACACAAACGGTTCCTTTTAGTTTCAAAATGATAAAAATGTTATTCTGTCCGTCCTGATGAATGTCTGTTTTTTTTTTGTTTTTTTTAACAGTGATCTGAATGGAAACAACCTGACCATCATCACCAAGACAGACTTCTCTGGACTGAAACACCTCAGAGTCCTGTAAGTCACAAACACACTCACATCTCACGAACAGTGTTAGAATAAAGACAGCGTTCACCACAGCAGTTTGACTTTAAAAATACTCAAAACAAACAAGAAAAAAAAGTTTTATCTTTTTTCCAAATATCAACAGAAACAGTATTTTTTAGTTTTCTACGTTTTATAAAATCAACTCATTTGAGGACAGTCCCTGACGTCTTCCTTCTTTTCTTTACTTTTGGGATAATTTGGGATTATACAGAACATGTACTCTAAGAAATAATTTATAAACCCACAGATTAAGCAAGTATTTCCCTGCTGGCCAATCATGGCACTGCATCTCAAACAGCCTTTTTTTCTTAAAGGTTCTTAATGCCAGTGACGATGACCGTCTTTTATAATTAATATGATTTTTCACTCAAGTCCAAATGTGACTAATTCTAAATTCACATTAGTCTCCGTCTCTTATGTAACTTATCCTAAAACCTAAACCCTAAAACCTAAACTCTTATCTTAACTCTTATCCTTACATTTCTGCGTCACCGATGGTTCGTTTCTGTGTCAGTGACGACACGCGTGACATTTGTGAAACTTTTTTTTTTTCTTTGCTCTGCCTTCACTCACAGCTGTCTGCCCCACTGTTGACGGGGCAGCAGCTTGTATTTACCCGCGGTGACTCCGCTTGTTTTAAGTCATGTAGGAATGTGGGAATCACGGCCGCGGCGGTGCTGAGGCCAGAGGGCCAGGACTGGGGCTTTGGTTCAGGACTGACACATGAACCAACCATAGGTGCTTGTTGGGTGTCAGTGTCAGTCAGGTTTATGACAGGGAGAGGGTTTGTCTGTCACCTTTTGACCTGGAAACACAGTGCCCCCTGGGAGAGGCTGGATGAGCGGCGGTTTCCTGTGTTAACCCAGCGAACGGCTCTGTGCTGAGTGTCAGTGATGGACATGAGGTGCTAAAAGGACGACATGCCAGGGACTAATGACATCTCTGGGAGAGGCGGGGAGGGGGGGGGGGGGGGGGAGGGGGGGTGAGGGGAGCTCAGAAGAGATTAGCAACCCACGGGGAGTGTGAGGCTGGCTGCTGTCAGGAGAGGGGAGGGGGTGTGAGTCTGGAGCAGATCAGGGAAAGATAACGAACTGTGAGGTGGGTTTTTAATGGACTCAGATTGAGATTTAGCTTCAGAGATTAATTTCCTGATGGGGAAAAAAACATTTAAGACATAAAACACACAAACAAAGAATGCAGTAAAGTCTGGAGAAATTAGTCAAGCAAGTTATTGAGGTGTAATTATGAATCACTGAACACACCTGGTATAAAAGAGAATCTGTATCTTTGAGTCCCGGCTCTGTGTACTCTGTATCTCAGCCCTGAAGGGACAGAAAAAATACTTCTCAGAGAAGTGGCTTAAAAGTAGATTTTCGTGTATTTGTGGTGAAGTGAAATGTCAGTAATATTCCTGGCTTCCTTTAAAATGTTTGACAGATGGGTTTTGTTTTTTTGACAAACACTTGATCAAGCCATCGCAGACTCAGTCCTTTCCCCCCAAAATATACTTAAAAAAATGCAGTACAGGGAATCTAAAAATTGTATTCTGTTCATGTACAATACTGTACAATAAAAAAACAGAAACAAAAACTTAAAATCCACTTCTATGCAGATGATGACGTTTCTTTATATTTATGTTATCAGGGAAATCCTAACAACAGCACACACTTGTGAATCGGACACCGACTCCTGATTGGTTTGCTTGGCTGCACTGACACCGAAATGATCCAAAACTGGCACTTAATGTCGACGGTCTTAAATCATCCGGTGAACAAAAGTGATAAATCACAGCGACAAGAATGGAATGTGAGATCAAGTTCACACGGGTGGTAGAGCCAGACTGATCACTTTGGTAAAAATAGAACCCAGCCCCTCCAGGTCTACACAGAAATACGTGGCTGCTCTGATCTTTTCCCGTGAGAAATAAGTTTCAAATGCGTTTTGGATCAAATCCAGGGCAGTTTTATCAAACGCTGTTATCAAATGTCCTGACCCAGTCCATCTTCTCGGTCCTATCATCTCTGAGAGCTGTTTTTTGTTGCAGAGAAAAGACCGTTAGCAGCCACTGGCTCGGTAACTTTATCTGTTTCAGTTTCATTTTGCTCCAATCCTGGTATTTTACACATAAATCTCTCCGTCTTTTGTGAACACACTTGCCAGCCGTCGTAGCTTTTGGCTTCCTGCCCTGACTAACAGCGCCTCGGGGCACGTGAAGGATGGATGTAGTGAGGCGGAGGTGGGAGTTGGTCTAGAAAGAAAGTGAATGCCCTTCACGAACCCTTTAGGAGGCGCCGTATAGGGCGTGAAATATGGCAGAAAACGTCACGAAACTTTCACAAATCTCATTCGTAGATACACAAAAATAATGAAAATATTGGGAAATTTTCATATATTTAAAAATAATGAAAATATTGGGAAATTTTGATATACCGCAAAAACCCGCGATAGAGTGAAAAATCAGCAATACAAGAATAAAAATTAAAATATTAAATATTAAAAACCCACAATGCACTGAGGGCACAACATCCGAACCACGATACATCGAGGGATGACTGTATATCATTGGGCCGATAGCATCGCAATATATCGTATCGTTGCCCCCTGTATCATGAGATTATTATACAGCCCATGTAACATGTGGTAATATGTGCTAATTGATAATATGTGCTAATTGATAATATGTGCTAATTGTTGTGTTTGCAGTCATCTGATGGAGAACCAAATTGTCAACATCGAGAGAGGAGCTTTTGACGATCTGAGGGAGCTGGAACGACTGTGAGAGAGCACAACCACACACACTCTCTCTCTCTCTCTCTCACACCCCCCCCAACCAACATAGTCTGTTAATCTGACATGTTTTTTTTTTATTTACACAGTCGTCTCAACAAGAACCGCCTGAACCACATCCCTGAGCTGCTGTTTCAGAAGAACGAGGCTCTGGCTCGACTGTGAGTACAAGATCTCTGCTCCTCTGACCTCTGACCTCTGACTTCTACCGTGAACACACACCATCATTGGTCTGTGACTTTAACACATCTGTGGGTTCTGTCATTATGAACACGTCAGCTGACAGTGAAGTCAACACAGTTAGAGTTGTAAACACAAGGTTTTGATCAAAACTTCTGCCCAAATCATCATCATCTCAAGTACAATGCAACATGAAGCACTTCTTAACCAGACTTAATGCTTATGTTTAAACCAGTTAATAACAAAACAACCAGGAACTCAAATACCTTCATACCTTCACATACCTCAGATTTAATGAAAAGAAACTTCACAGCAGTGAAGTACCTGTGTGTAGCAGTAAAAAGTACACAGGTTTTTACTCATTAACTGCCAATGGAAAGCACTCTCTCTCTCTCTCTCTCTCTCTCTCTCTCTCTCTCTCTTTCTTTCTCTCTCTTTCTTTCTCTGTGTACAGTGTGTATTTGTTTTTTGCAATTCCACACTTTTGCTCCCATCAGGGAATATGTAATAGGACTTGGCAGTGCGATCAATCAGTACACACACACACACACACACACACACACACCTTACCCAAACGCACATACACACACACACACACAGGCTGTGCGAGGCTATTAGCGCTCCTTCTAGCAGAAGTGTTATTTCTCCTGCTGTGTTGATGGACTGAACGCCCCGGGAGTCTCTCTCACACACACACACACACACACTGCAGTGTATATACAGTGTAATTGGTACACACACTGTATGTTTGTGTTCACAGATACAGTCCTGAGGAACTCGTTAACCAGTCAATAATTATTCCTTAATCACAGATATTCATCTCTTTGAGTTTTTTTTTTCCTATTCAGTAACAATTAACAAATAGTGACTTTTATTCTGTCTACAAGAAATACACGGCTCATTTTACGACATCGTTTTTTTATTTTCTCATCTTTATATTTAGTTAAACTTAATTTTTTTTATTTTGAAATATAAAAAAAATAAATTTGGGGAAAAGGATTCTGGGTAAAAATGAGAGCAGGCCACGCAGGCTCACGATACAGAAATATACCAGGCAATTAAAAGTCTGTGTGTGTGTGTGTGCAATTAACTTTCCCCTCAGACGCTAAAAGAGTTCCTCTCATTTGGCAGATCTGTCCTCATTAACACACTTGATTGGCACGCGATCGCGGCTAATTAGCGGCGCGAAGCTGTTAGCGGTAACGCGGGCCGACGGCGGGCGGCGGCTGTTTAGAGGCGTCTCCGAGTGTGAGCCTGTCGCTCACCTGACTCATTTACCTCGTGAGAGGAAGCGGCGCATCTGTGACTCCCTGTGATAATTGCTGCCATTAGCATTTTTGAAGTCTAATTGTGTCCGTCTGTGTGTGTGTGTGTCCTAATGGAGCTCATTTGCATATAGACAGCAACAGAGTGTGATGTGTTTGTTTAAGGGTCTCATAAAGTCACGTCGACGTCACTCACCAGTGAGTTTGTTCAATAATTTATTTATTTATTTAACCAGTGAGTTTGTTCAATAATTTATTTTTTGTTTGTTAAATAATTTAATTTTTTTTTTTTTTTTTGAGAGGTTACTGCCAACAACAGAGAGACGGGACGTAAACATCAAATTTTAAAATATTGTATCGATGGAGACAGTGTGAAGTTTGCAATATTGCTCATTTTAATTTGTGGAGATGAGAAACGCAATTTATAAATCAACAAAAAAATTCTGTCTCCATTTGAAAAAAAAAACATGTGACACATGTCATTACAAATGTGTGAAACATCATGATTTGTGTTATAAATATTGATGATTTCTTAATTCAAAGTTAAGAGAATTTAAAGAAGTTAAGTATCGCATTTCTCAATCTATTAAAAAAAAATCTATAAACAATTATTTAAAAATAAATCTTTTTTTTTTTTCTCGTCCGTCCACAGTGTCTATAGCAGACGTGACGTTGAGCCAATCAGGTGGAGGACATTTTTTCGGCTCTGAACTAATTTAATTTCAACATTTCTGACCTGTTTCCTCTGTTATTTATTGAGAAATTTAAAGGTGTTTTTTCTTGACTTTTATTTATTTGTGAACAATGGAGATTTATGGCTAAATGCTACAAACAAACGTGTTTTATTTTCTTTTAAATACACTGAATAATAGTTTCCTATAGTTTTCTATAATTTATTATTAATTTCATAATTTTTGACCAAATCCAACCCTGATGTCCCCACAGTCCCCCCCCCCACACACACTCTGGAGTCTGTTATTGTTTGCGACCGTTAAACTTCCAGAAGTTTCTTTTGTGGTGCTGTGCCAGTGTGTAATGGACAAACACTGTTTAACGACGGTTTGTTGTGGTACTTCTGGTTTCCCTTTTTCATGGCAGCTACATATTGCTGCCATCTGCTCTCCTGGAAAGTTGTTGCATGTCATTATGACAGCACACAATGTCCAAACTGGAGGCTGCGGGAGAATTTAGTGCCAGTTATTTGGTTGTTCTGTGAAGCCGGGCTTTTGTGGTGGCACTGAAAGAAAACTGTTTGTATAAATACAGGTCGTGTTGAACCGTCACCAGAACAAAAACATGTCAAATGAATGAGGTTTTTTGACCTTTTTGGGCCACAATTACCACGTCTTGTGTTTGTTGTTTAGTTTCTTCCAGCCCTGAGACCGTCTTCAGAATTGAAGAAAACTTTTCAGTGAAAAGTGAAGCATCTTCAAGGAACTCTACTGCTCCGGTCATTACTTTGTTGGCCACACGGTGGCACATGGGGTCAGGGCATCGGTTGGCAGGTTCGATCTTTGGTCTTTTCTGTCTGGTGTTTTCCTGGTGTTCTCTCGTTCATCTTCCCACTAAAAAAAAGAACTCAGATGAAGGTTTCAGTTAAATCGACTGTAAAGGTGTGAATGTGAGTGTGAACGGTTGTCTCACCCGTTGACTTCTGGGATTGGGCATCAGCCCACCTGTGACCTGAGACATAGACTGACTCTTGTTCTTGTTCTTGTTCTTGTTCTCGGTTCATTGGCAGGAAGACTTTTAAGGAATGTTTCGAGGAACGTTGCTCCACACGTCCGTTCTAATAACACGTGTTCAAACAGACTTGTGAAGCCGACATCCTGCCAGTGTCCAATCACAGGGAGCCGTCAGTCATTAGGAGATTTACCAATAAAAACACTTTTATGATGGTCACGTCTTCTTCTTCTGTGGTGCTCTGGCTGTGCATCTCCAGTCCATTATGTCCTCAGTCGTGTTGACGTTACCAGCAGGAAACACTTTTGTCCCTGGAGCAGACATTAGAGGCAGGATTTTCCCAGAATTGTGTTTCTCTTGAAGCCGAGACTCCGTGTTGCGTCCTACCGCGTGTGGTAACAGCGGAGAAGCCGGACCACAGGGTTTTTGCGGCGAGGACTCAGACCATCGATCCCTTTATAAAAACAGGCTCTGATTTTCTTTGGTTCACGCCACAATGTCAGATGGAGCGTTTTTGTCACACCACGAACGATGACGTTCCTCTGTCATGTTGGTCCAAAGCAACACTGACACGCTGGGGGCGGACGAAGTGAATGATGGGAAGAAACACTCAAACACATGGACCAACAGTGGAAGACAAATATTAGTGCGGCGACGGACGATCAGCACCGACTCACATCTCTGTTTCTGCTTCATTCTCGCCCCGGGGTTTCTTCAGCCTTTCCCTTTTTTTTTTTCCTCCCCGGGGTCCCATCCTTTGTCTGTCTTTGTGGGTTTTTTTTATTTTTTTTTTTTATTAAACACTCTGCTTCCTTTGGAGGAATCAAGAGAGGGGAGGTTGCAGGGAAGGGAGATGAAGACAAAACGAAGAACAACAAGTTTAGCTCTCTGTCTTTTAGCTGATCTGCTGATTCACTGACCATCGTCATGTTCTTCTTCACTTCATCCATACTGTACGTCTTCTCCAGGGTCGGACTTTTCACCTCCTGCCCTGCGCCTCTATCTCCTACATCAGGGGGGCGTCTTAGGATCCAAACTCACCAGCTAAACTCTCGGGGGCCTGTGAGGTTTTGTCGTGTTTGTGTCTTTGCACCTGGACTGTCGGCTCACGATCGCAGGTGTGAGTTCAGTGTTAAAACCCACAGTCAACACATCAGTTCACTGAGACGCCTGAATGACGACTGATGCCCGCTGTAGACGGGGTGTGGAGTTTAGGGGTGAGAGGTGAGGAGGGGGTGGGGGCTGCTTCCACTCCTACATTTGCGGACCCTGAGTGTTTCATCTGGGAAGCCTTTGTTTGCTTTACTGGTCTGGTGTTTCCACATTGTTGGGCGACCAGAGATTCTCTGTTTGCTTGTTCTACTCTGTCACTGAAGCCTCGACAGTTTCATGTTAACTAAAACACTCAGAGCCTAAAGAACATGTTTTTATAGCTGCAGCTTTTCATATCCCCCAAAAGTCCGCCTGGCATATTTGGTATCTTTGGAAACCACGACACTGGAGGCTCTGTGGGTTTCGAGCCACAGTCGGGGGAACAGAATGAGTTTGTAATGATTTGTAATGACTGTGTTTTTACATTATAAATACGAGCATGTGCATCTGTTTAGCTGAGCCGCTAGTCAGACCAGGACGGAGAACATGTGGTTTTGGGCTCAAGAGTACAAGTGTGGGGACGCAGATGTCTTTGAAGGAGCCACTAAAATGTTTTTTGTTTCAGTATTAAAAACTTGTCCCCGTTGTCTTGAATGTTTCAGTATTAAAAACTTGTCCCCGTGATAGATGTGAAAAAGGGGTTCAGGCTGTAAAACAGTTCTCAAACGGCTCCTGCTGCTTAATCCACTTTTCTGCTTTTGAACTGAGTGTGAGTCCAGCTTCACTTAAAATCTGGCTCCAGGGATCAGTTGTTTTTTTTTTAACAATGTCAAGTCAGGCTCTCTGTGCAGGTTTTATTTTCCTGGTTCTGTGAATATTTTACAGGTAAAACTGAGAGAGAATCGAAAACAGACTAAAGAAACAAAGATCAAGGATGAAGCAAAAAAAGTTCTTAAAAACTGGTGCCAACGCTAAAAGTAAATTCCACAATGAAAACAACCAAAAATTTATTTTTTTTTAACAATCCCATATTGAAGTTGCGAAGGTGAACATCACTAACGTTAACAGATCACGGGGCCTCTCGCGCTGTCAATCAAACACACCGTCCAATCAGATGTGCTGTTTTTAATGTAATCTGAATTTAGCTGAGTGCTAACGACGTCTCTGCTAATACGACTTAATACAAAGGCTATGATTCTGTTTGGTTGCCCTCGTTGTCATGGCGACGTACCGATGATTCACTTGTATTTATTTTGCCTCTGTGTAATCAGAGGAAAAGCAAAGTTTATTAAATATGAAGTCAACTGCTGTAAGAAGTGACTCGTCAGCGGTAACGAATCACATCATCAGGGATGTAGGGAACTCCCGTCAGAGATTAAGGGTCTCTGCGTCCAATCAGAATCCAGCGTCCAGGCTAACCTGTGTTTGACCTGAAGCTGAGAGAGATGGATGGACAGCCGTGAGGAGGAGAAAGATGAGGAGGGACTGAGTGGGAAAGTTTACCTTTCTCACCCTCCTCTGTGGGGTAAAGGGGGGGGGGGGTGACGGGAAAGAGGATATTGTACGAAATGGGGAGGGGGAGACACCAGAACAATGGTGGACATGACGGAGAGGATCAGAAAATGAATAGAGGCGATGGATGGACAGAGAGCAAATATGAGACTGGCTACTGTCCCCACACACACACACACACACACACACACACACACACACACTTGTCCAGCTGTGACCACTCTGTTTCCCTTCAGTAAACATCATATCTTCCCTCAGGGCGTCCTGGAAACAGACGTCCTGGAAACCTGATGGGAAAGCATCTTTAATATTAGTGTGTGTGTGTGAGTGTGTGTGAGTGTGTGTTCTTTGTCCTTTGTGTTGGTGTCATCAACATCCAGTTTAAACCTAGATCCATTACTGATTGATTGAGCTCCTGGTTCAGGTTCTTAGCAGGTGGTTCTCACCTGTGGGTCATGTCCCAAAATGGTTCACAAAGACACATTTCTTGGGTCACTTTGACTTTAATCTGTTTGGTTTTTTTTAGCTTTTTATGGTGAATTTCTATATCATTTTTTCACTATGTTTTTTCCAGGGTTTCTGAAAGTTCAATACTTGTATCATTTTTTCACTATGTTTTTTCCAGGATTTTTGAAAGTTCAATCTCTGTGTTGATTGGTCAGATTTCTCCATGTTTCACTTTTTTTTATTTATGGACCTTAAACTAACCAGGAAGTCCAGATCACCGTATCACTGGCTCTGTCTGAGAAACTCTTTTTCCTACGACAGTGAAGGCATCGCTGGCCCAGTTCAGCTGAATCAAGACAAAAATATTTATCCTGATTATTGACTGTGGCTGTAGCTCAGAGGATCGGGCTGTTGCCTTACACCTGGATGGGTGGAGGTTTGATTCCAGACCTTAAAGGTTTCATGCAGTTTTGGGAGTCACCCCCCCCTGCCTCCCCTGCCTCCCCACCCCCCAGGGTTAGGTTGTTGCTGCTGCTGCTGTGAATGTAACAGCACATACATTACAGCAGTGTTATCTGGAGGTTCATCTGTGCTCCTGCTCCTGCTCTGACCCTGACAGTAATGGAGTGTGTCTGAGGTTCAACCCCCCCCCCCCCCCTCCCCCGTGGTTAATCTCACTCACACACAGACGGTGAGGTTTCTAACCCCCGTGGATTTAGTTTCTGCCGCTGTCGTTCCCAACAGCAGTGGCTGTGTTTCCACCGTCTGTCCGTCGGTGATGAAGACGATCTGCAGTGACACTAAACGTGTCACACTCCGCTGCAGTAAACAGTGTATTTACAGACTTCCTGTGGACTCCAGGAAACTCGTTAGAGATAAAGATGATCTGGTGTTTAGACTCTGTAGTAAATCTGCTGCTAACGAGGAGGATTGGAATGAAAATTAGACCCAGATTAGATTTTCAGATTAGAATGATTTATGATTTTTTTACTATTTCGTCTTTTTCTGTTGTTGTTTTACCACAGGACGTTTTTAAAATGAAGGTAGAGCATTTGATGTATTTCCTGTTGTTCACTCAGGTTCAAGGAATGACAAACAAAAAAGAAAGTGAGTACTGTTTATTAAAAGTAAAAGTTTTTCTCTTTCCTCTTCCAGGGATCTGAGTGAAAATGTCATCCAGGCTGTTCCACGCAGAGCATTCAGAGGAGCCACAGAACTGAAAAATCTGTAAGTGGAAAAAAAAATTAATTTAATATTAAACTATTAATATTACTGACCTCCAGTCAGTGTTGGTGATGATGAAATCCAAACTGAATGTGTTTCCAGTCAGCTGGACAAGAACCACATCAGCTGCATCGAGGAGGGAGCGTTCAGGGCGCTGCGTTCTCTGGAAGTGCTGTGAGTATTTCACCTCACGTACACACACACACACACACAAACGTGGAGTAGTATTTTAGAGTTCACTGTCTCCTCTGTCTCCAACCCTCCTCAGTACTCTGAACAACAACAACATCAGCAGCATTCCCGTCTCCAGTTTCAACCACATGCCCAAGCTCCGCACCTTGTAAGTCTCTCCGCTCAGTTTCCTGTTCCTCCCTCCACAAAACTCCTCTGACTCTGTCCCTCTGACTCTGACTCTGTCTGTCCCTCTGTCCCTCTGTCTTCTCATCCCTCCGTCTGTCTCTCTGCAGTCGTCTCCACGCTAACTCCCTGCGCTGTGACTGTCATCTGGCCTGGTTGTCTCCGTGGTTACGGCAGCGGCCGGCGTTGGGCCTCTTCACCCAGTGCAGTTCTCCTCCCAAACTGAGGGGTCTCAACCTGGCCGAGCTGCGCAAGACTGACTTTTCGTGCTCAGGTGCATTAGCTCAGTAACATTATTTTGAGCGCAGCTCAGACTCTGTGACGGCGTCTCGTACAGTGTGTGTTAAAACTGTGGTCGTTGGTCGTAGGAAACGGCGGCAGTGCCTTCGTCCAGCCCTGCAGCCTGGCGTCTGGATCCTGTCCTCCGATGTGTTCCTGCAGCAACAACATTGTGGACTGTAGGGGGCGGGGCCTGACTGCAATCCCCGCCCACCTTCCTGAGGCCATGACTGAGATGTGAGATGTACTTTTATTATTATCAGTGTATTGAATATTTGTACAGTGAAGTACAGGTGTGGTGTACTGCAGTACGAGAGTCAAAGAGTTGGAGAAGAGACGTTTTTAGTCATTTATTAAATCTCTGACAGTTTTGACAGGTTTTATCTTTATATATTTCTTGAGTGTTGAGCTTGGTGACATTTTATTTTGTCAGGTTTTAACATTTAAAATATTAAAAATAAGACATTTTTAAAACATCCAGCAAATTTTAACCCAACTTGAATGGAAACCTGATGAATTCACTTCTTTTTCCAAACATATAAAATTAATTTATATTTTTTTCTTTAGACCAGACACTGACAGTAATATTTATTTTTACATATATATTTCTATTTTTTTACTCATTTATACACAAGTAAACTTGTTTTCTCTGTCATTGTCTCCCCCTCTTCCTCTTCCTCTCCCCCGTCCTCACCCCTGCAGCCGTCTGGAGCAGAATGGCATCAAGTCAGTTCCTCCAGGTGCCTTCACCTCCTACAAGAAGCTTCGTCGAATGTGAGTTCCTCCTCCTTTTGTTACACTTACATTTTTCTTTACAAATAATATTTTACAATTTCAATTTTCAGTCGAATCTCAGATTAAAATCAATCACATTTAAATTTAAATTAAATCATTGCTACATTACTATTGTAAACCAATGTTTACAACAAAGATTTAATTTAGAAAAATCTTTAAAATCTTTTTAACTTTTAGACAGATTTCAGTTGAATTAATTTCAACATCTTCATCATCTTCATCATCGTCAGTAGTAAATAAAAAGGATATTTAACATCAGAAGTTTTTGTTAAATATAAATAATTTAGTTTACAACACTTCAGAAATCTTGTACAATATTTTATTTCTCATTGTTTAATGTCCAACGAAGCACATAAATAATCAAAGTGTAAAACAATTACAGTAAAAGCATCAGCGATTAAACTCCTACATTAGCCGTCTGTTCTGTTCTATTTGATTCTATTCTAACAACTCTCCACGATGGTCGTGACACACAGCGTTTAAATATCGATTTCGCCTCGGCCGAGGTCGTCTGAACGTCAGCTAAACTCACCACGCAGACAGGGAGGCTGTGGTTTGTGCAGCAACGTCCCTGGAGGCCCGGCCTCGGCCAATCACATCCCAGAAATATTAATCCCAGAATAAGAGACCGTCAATAAAACACTCGCGTCTGAAACCCCCCGGCCCGGGGCCTGGACCGGGGGGTTTCAGGCTCTTCTGTCGCCACGGTTTTTGCTGAGATGTGGTTTTTCCTGCTCAACATAACAAACAGTTACGACACTGAGCAGATCTTGATTTACATCAGTCAGGGATCAGATACTGTACGGCCCCCGGCGGAGGGCAGCAGTGGGGGGGGGACTCTTCAGAGGATCTGCAGAGAAGCAAACCACAACAATAACGCCTGTGCCTCTCCGACTCTCTCTGTGGTTCCCGTTGTGACCACCGTCGCTGCTTTTCTCTTCTTTTCTTCCTCGCTCATTTCCACTCTCAGACATTCTTTCACTTCATGCTGTGGTTTTTCTTTTCTCTCCTTCCTCTTCTCGTTCCTCTTCCTCATCCTCGTCCTGTTACATCATCACTGTGTGAAACTGTGCAGAGCGCTAACACACACACACGGGAGACGTGATTACATTTCCAGGCTGGATTAAGTGCATTTGCTTTGAATTTGTTTTGACAATTGTGTGAAAGTCCTGGCTGCGGAGCAGGGGGACGGGGGGGTTATTATCATATATGGTCAACTGGACTCTGACTGAGCAAAGAGCGCCCCCCTTCTCCTCCTGCGTTCACTCCACTCATCTCATAGTTCATCTCAGTGGTTGTTTGAATTCATCCAGTTCTACCTCAGTCTGTTCTTTCAGTGATCAGTGAAGTTTCAAACGACATCATTTTTTTCTTGACTCGACTCAAATGCTCCCTCCTTTATGCCATTGTTTATCCAAAGACTGGGTCGCAACCCTCAGGTGGGTCGCAAGATTTTTTTTTTTTTTGGGTCGTCTCACATCATGTTTTCCAGGAGTTTAGGAATAACATCTACTGACTTTAGTCGTGAAGATTTGTGACTTTTAAAAAATGGGTCCCCAGAAAAAAAAAAAAAGTCTGGGAAACACTGGTCTGTGCAGCTGAGAACGTGATGACTTAACGTTAAAGTTGTCGGAGACGCTGAATTTTCAGACGTTTCTGTTGATTGTAAAACACGGGTTTCATATAAGACGTGGATTCGTAAATTCAAACTTTATCCTGTGTCCTACCTCACATTTCTGTCTGTTTTTTCCAGAGACCTGAGCAACAACCAGATCTCTGACATCGCTCCGGACGCTTTCCACGGCCTCAAAGCTCTGAATTCACTGTGAGTACCAAAAAAAATACTAACTAATTATGGAATATCGGTAAGAAAGGTTATTGGTTTTTTTCTTTCAATAATGAAAACCTGTTAATTATTTAATTATTTAAGAAAGGTTATTGGTTTTTTTCTTTCGATAACCTGTTAATTATTTAATTATGAATGTGACCTAAAATTAGTTTTGAAATGAAAGTGAATTATTGTCATTGTCACAGAGAACATCACTGCGCACAATATCAGAATATTGGAATTGGCAAATGAAGTGTTTGGACAATATCGGGATTTTGGAAATCAGTCATCGCTAATGTATGTGTCAACTGTGTGTGTGTGTGTGTCTGTGTGTGTGTGTGTGTGTCCAGGGTTCTGTACGGTAACAAGATCACTGAGCTGCCCAGTGGAGTCTTTGATGGTCTGGCCTCACTGGAGCTGCTGTAAGTCCAAACACCGTTCATGGATATAGTTTGTCAAAAGTGTCGTAAAGAGTCGTAAACCCTGGATGATGTAAAAAAAAAAAAAAAATCAGGTGTCGGAAAATTGAACACTGACCAGACGTCAACGTCAGCTTCAAACTCACAGCTCCCAGATTTGTAGTTGTCAGACGGTGAATCGTTTCCTGATTGGTTCTGGTAAAAATAAATAATAATAAAGTATATACGTGTGTATATGTATATATGTTTATGTATATGTATCTATATATGTATGTATATATATGTATATGAATGTATGTATATATATGTATATGAATGTATGTATATATATGTATATGTATGTATGTATATATATGTATATGTATGTATGTATGTATATATATGTATATGTATGTATGTATGTATATATATGTATATGAATGTATGTATATATATGTATATATATGTCCTTACAGCATGCTCAAAATAATGTTGCAGGTACTCGTTCTTCAAAACTCTTGGAAACCAAACCTGAAAAAAAAAATTTTTTAAAAGCTTTCTGCCGTATTTGTTAGTTATTAGATCAGTTCTTACTGTAGGTAAGTTTAAAATATTCAGTGAAAACTCATGGGTGTCTTCCCGTTGTCCTGCAGGCTCCTGAACGCCAACAAAATCCACTGCATCCGAGCGACCGTGTTCAAGGACCTGGAGAACCTGGCTCTGCTGTCGCTCTACGACAACAAGCTCCAGAGTTTGGCCAAAGGCACCTTCAGCTCCCTGCTCAGCATCCAGACGCTGTGAGAGAACGCCGTAGGCCGCACACACACACACACACACACACACCGTCGCCACTTCTGCCACTTACGCTCATGTTGTGTGTGCTTTTGTGATCTCCCATCAGCCACCTGGCCCAGAACCCTTTCGTCTGCGACTGTAACGTCAAGTGGCTGGCCGACTTCCTGCGCTCCAACCCCATAGAGACCAGCGGGGCGCGCTGTGCCAGTCCACGCCGCCTCGCGAACAAGCGCATCGCACAGATCAAAAGCAGCAAATATAGGCCGCACGGTCAGTGTGTGTGTGTGTGTGTGCGTGTGTTTGTGTGTGTGTAGTTGTTGGCATTCTTTCACTGACATAAAACTTTTTTTTCTCTTTCTTTTCCCATGACAGCCAAAGAACAGTATTACATCCCAGGTGATCACATGACTTTGTTCATTTCTGCATCTGTGTGTGTGTGTTTGTTTTTCTGGTTTCAGTCCTTTTAAAGGGACACTTCACTATTTTAAGTGGGTGGTGCACGTGTCCAAAACAGTGGACAATTGGAGAAATGCATTATTGGTACTAAACCGACCGGGGTCTAACTGAGTGGCCCAGGTGGGCTGCCAGGGATTCTGGGTCACATTATTAGGATCAGAATTAACAATCATTTAACATAAGTTGATGTAATATTTAATATTTTTTTAATTTAGAATATAAAAGCAGTCACTTATTATAAATGCCATAAAAAGCAACTTAAGTTATAAATAAATTTCTGTCTTTTTTCTTGTATTTTACTCTGGAAATCAAGAATCGTCCTTTAAGTTGATCTCACGCTGGTCTCTCTGACAAAAGTCCTCACACTGGTCTCTCTGACAAAATATGTGTGTCGCACGTGTGTGTGTGTGTTGTTTGCACGTTCAGGCTCCGAGGACCGGCGGTTGAGCTACGAGTGTAACAGTAAGCCCGTCTGTCCCGCCAAATGTCGCTGCGAGGCCAACGTGGTCGACTGCTCCAACCTCAGACTCACCACGTTCCCAGAACACCTGCCGTCCTCCACTGAAGAGCTGTGAGACACCACACACACACACACACTCTCTCGGCAGTTTGTTTCATGGATATTCATGTTGACATGTGTGAATGTGCTCATGCTGCATGGCTGCACAGCCACTGGACACACACTGATTTCAAACCGACTCGTCCGCTAATGATGTTTTCCTGTTCGTGGTCTGACGTCTGATGTCTGTTCTGCGATTGTCTGTAGGCGTCTCAACAACAACGACCTCTCCGTCCTGGAGGCCACCGGAGCCTTCAAGGGTCTGACGCAGCTGAAGAAAATGTAGGTCACCCTCAAACGTCTGACCAGGGCTTTAGGTCTTCAACAGCAAACTGACCTTAAAACAGTACATGAGGAAGAGCTAATAGGGTTAGGTCTCATTGTAGACCATCGACCGTAGACTGTAGACTATAGACTGTAAATTATAGACTACTATAGACTGTAGACCATAGAGTATAGACTGTAGACTGTAAATTGTAGACCATAGACTGTAGACTATAGACCACTGACTATAGACTATAGACTGTAGACTATAAACTTTAGACCATAGACTATACACTATACAGTAGACTGTAGACCATAGAATATAGACTGTAGACTATAGGCCATAGACTATAGACTGTAGACCATAGATTATAGACTGTAGACTATAGGCCATAGACTATAAACCGTAGACTATAGATTGTAGACTATAGGCTATAGACTGTAGACTATAGACTGTAGACCATAGAGTATAAACTGTAGACTATAAATCGTAGACCACAGACTATAGACAGTAGACTATAGGCCATAGGCTATAGACTGTAGATCATAGACTGTAGACCGTAGACTGTAAACCATAGATTGTAGACTATAGACCGTAGACTATAGACAGTAGACTATAGGCCATAGACTGTAGATCATAGACTATAGACCATAAACTATAGACTATAGTCTATATATTTAATATACAGTCTATACTCAAACAACGCGTTTCTTCTTTTTCTTCTTCTTCTTGTTTCCGTTCAGTAATTTGAGCAACAACAAAATCTCCGACATCGAGGACGGAGCTTTTGACGGAGCCTCCTCGGCGGTGGAGCTCCACCTCACAGCCAATCACCTGGAGTCTGTGAGGGGCAGCATGTTCAGGGGCATGGAGGGACTACGGATGCTGTGAGTTTACAGTTGACTGTTGACGAAGTTTGAGAGGGAAGAAAAACATGAACGAGACGCTGCACCTGAAGGAACTGAGAAAAAGAAATAGAAAATATAAATCACTTAAAAATCAATTTATATTTTTGTCCACCTGTTTATGGATTATAAATTATACTGTTTTATATGTTGGAAAAACTCATAATTATTATTGAATTAATATCCATTTCCAAAGTGTCGTGACTCCTCAGTGGGACATTATTGGAACACAGTAGATATCATTTAATATGTACGTCTAAAAATTGATGATAATTGATTGGCTTTTACGTTCTGTTTACGTGTGTGTGTGTGTGTGTGTGTCCAGGATGCTGCGGAACAACAAGATCAGCTGTATCCACAACAGCAGCTTCACAGGACTGACCAACGTCAGGCTGCTGTCACTGTACGACAACCAGCTGAGAACCATCCTGCCCGGAGCCTTCGACACGCTGCCCAACCTGTCCACTCCAGCCCCCCCCACCCCCACACAGCGTCCAGTCCCCTCCCTCCTCCCCCACTGACTATCCAATCCTCCGTCCCCACAGGAACCTGCTGGCCAATCCCTTCAACTGCGACTGTCGTCTGTCCTGGTTCGGTGTTTGGCTCCGGAGTCGACACATCGTCACAGGGAATCCTCGCTGCCAGGGTCCGGCTTTTCTCCGAGAGATCCCACTGCAGGATGTGGCGGTGCCCGACTTCCGCTGCGAGGATGGTACGGTCAAAGCTGAGCAACATACGGAAAAATTTAAAAATTTAAATAAAATGTATTTAATGATCCGCAATCAATTCCACAACCGGTCCTCAGTACAAAAAAAAGTTGCCGTCCACTGTTCTAGAGAACCACATTGGTCAGGGAACTGTTTTTTTCCCCTTTGGGCCTGGTACTTTTTCTTGTGGTGCAAATTTCTTTAGGAACTGTTTTTTGTTTTTTTCCGAGGAAGCAGAGAATCTGATTGGTCGGAGAACTATTAGCTTTTTTTTTTAACCAATCAGGAAACAGAGCACAGAAGTTTCCTTCTTGCTATTGCTCTTTTACTTGCTACAAAAACAGTCCTTGCACTTTTACTTAGTCTCTTTGTTTCTTGGTACTAATTCCTGTGGTGGAACTCCCTGTGATTAAAACTCCATCATCATCATCATCATCATCATTTTAAAGTGTGTTTTTGACTCTTCCTGTGTGTCTGTAGAGAATCAACCATGAACTTCTCCCTGTATCTGCCTCTGTTCAGGATCGGTACTGGAGGACAGCAGCTGTGCTGCAGGGACTCAGTGTCCGAGTCAGTGCACCTGCGTGGACACGGTGGTTCGCTGCAGTAACAAACACCTACAGGCTCTTCCCAGAGGACTGCCGCGAAATGTCACAGAGCTGTGAGTCAGAAAATAACACAAACACAGAGAGACACGGGGCCACAGTGACCCCCGCACGGAAACACAACACTCCCCTGGTGTCACCCTGAACCTGAAGCAGCGGGGAAATAAAAAAAATCACGTTGTTTTTTTTGTTTGTGTTGTGAGAATGTACCTGAAAAATGCTGTTTGTCCCTCAGTCTCAAACAAGTAACCGTGAAGAAGAAAAAGTTTAGGTTTTTAAAGACAAACAGTTCGTTATCTGTTTGTCTTTGTGCAGTTACATTATTTTTGTATTTATTATATGTATATATTTATTAATTTTATTAATTAATTATTTTATAACACTCAGTGTTGGTTCATTTACATCTGAGAAAAATGTGACGTTGCCCTTAAAAGCAGGTTAGGAGGTCAAAAAATGTACGAGAAAATACATTAAAATTAATTGGGTTTTGTGTTTTTTATGAAAAGCAAGCAAACTTAAAAAATAGTACTATGAAAATACTTCAAATATGAATTGCCTACTGACAAACATACAGATGAAATCAACATTAATTTGTCTAAATTCTTCACATAAATATTAATAAAGGAACAGACACAGACCTGTGTGAGTCTGTGACGTGACAGATGTGAATATTGTCTCCGTCCTCCCCACAGATACCTGGATGGAAACCAGTTCACCAGTGTCCCTAAAGAACTGGCCACCTTCAGATATCTGCAGCTGGTGTAAGAACGCATTTCCTCCGACTTCACACTTTTTATTGACTCACTTTTAGCACCTGGGGCGAGTGGTTGTTGTTGTTGTTCACGGGCTTCACCACTAGTTTGACCTTCAGATATGCAGCTAAGGAACGGAGAGGATCAACAGGGAAGAGGAGATTAAAAAAAAAAGATTCACATTAGTATTTGTTGTTTTTATCTAACAAGGAAGAACAATGAAACAGAAGTAGACAGGAATCGCTAACACAGTTAGCCGAGCTCTTATTTTTGCTACTGTGCTAATTTAGCATACACTTCCGCTGTTTATCTAGTTTTAAACATATTTTTTTAGTTGTTTTTTGTAGCTGTACTTGTCATTTTTATAGTTATGTTTATGACGTATTTTCCCATATACGATAAAATCCAGCAGGGGGAGCTGTGAACTGCATATTTAATTCTGAGTTGAGATGAGTTTAATGATGTCACCTCGATTGTTTGTTTGTGTATTTCCGGTACAGACTACGTATTTCCGGTACAGACTACGTATTTCAAAGTTCCAAAGCGACAGTATAATAGTTAATAGTTCTAGTTAAGGTTTAGTTTAGTTGTTAGGGAACGTGTCACAAAAAAAGTTAAATTTTTCTACTTTTTGGTCAACAGAGACTTGAGCAACAATAAAATCAGTTCCCTGTCGGACGACTCCTTCTCCAACATGGTACAGCTCACCACGCTGTGAGTACACACACACACACACACACGCACACGGGTGACATCCCAAACTGCAGGTGGCACCAGAATGTTCCGCAGCTTCTTTGACTCTTCCCTCCAGACAGACAGGGTTCTAACATGGAACATTCTGGCACAATCTAGTCTCTAAATGCTGATTTACAGATACACCTCGGAGACTCTGGTTCTGGTTCTGGTTCAGTTTTACTTCGTGATATAACTTTAAAAAGTTCCACGTGTGTATTAGAGGATTAAAAGTACTTCAACTTCTATCATCAGCCCCCCCCACCTCGTCCTTATACAGTCTGAACGAACCTGCTTTTTTCATCATTTTCGACCTGGTTTTAATACAGAACACGCGTTGAATTAAAGGAGAAACACCGCCCTCTGTAGGCAGAAACGCTGATTGTTACACTGGGCAATTTATACTGGACATTTTTCTGCTCGTTATATTACATATTATACTGTATATATATATATATATTTATATATATGTGACAATATATATATAGAAGCGAACCAACCAGAATTTTTTTTTTATGTGAGTTCTGGTGATTTTTGAGGCTGAGTCGACACATTTATCATATACTTAATGAAATTTGAGAATCAGAACATTTTTGTAATTTTATATGAAAGGAACAAATACTGTATATACAATATAATCTGAACAGATTAGATATCCCTTACATGTAGAATATATAATTTTTTTTCTCCATTATGAATTTCTTTTCTTTTTTTGCTCTCTCTCTTTGTGGTTTTCATGAAACTCTTCATCTTCATCATCTTCATCTCCAGGATCCTCAGTTACAACTCCCTCCGCTGTATCCCTCCACTGGCTCTGGGCGGCCTGCGCTCACTAAGACTTCTGTAAGGAAACACACACACTCTTACACTCTGGCCTAATTAATAATCATAATAATAATAATAATAATAATAATCTTCTTCTTCTTCTTTGTTTCTTTTCCAGCTCTCTCCATGGCAACGACATCTCTGAGCTTCAGCAGGGCATCTTCAACGACGTGGCCTCCCTGTCTCACCTGTGAGAACCTCTACACACACACACACACACACAAACCTCTGTTTGGTCGATTGAATTAACTGAGAAAATCCATAATTTCCGCAGTTTTACTGATTTAAAATCGTGCGTGTGTGTGTGTGTAACAGCAGCATCATTTGACCGTTGTTCATCTCGGTGTCTGTCCACACAAAGTGAGCAGTGGACATGGACAGGAGAAGGTTTTTTTATTTATTTTAGTCATGTGACTCCTGACCCTCTCCTCCTCCATTCCCCCCCGCCCCCTCCTGTCTGAAAGGCGATCCTGCCTGTCAGTCAGGCAGATGAGTCAGGCAGTAAAATTAGGCCGTGGAACAGAATCCTTCAGCAGATATCGACTGCTCTCGTCTCCAGAGCCTCTTCAGTGGAGTCGTCTTCTAAACAGAAAACACACGGAGATGTTACTTGACCTTAAATCAAAACAGTTTGAGCTGAAATAACATCTTCCAGACAAAATGATCTAAAAACAGACTAATGGGCCCAAACCACAGCATCCAGATCACAATACCACGAATACACTTGATACCAGACACAAGGACCAGGGTTGTTTTGGTTTTGTTTTTTTGTTTGTTTTTAAATGAACACCATCACTTTATTTGAATAAGATTTTTATATTTATTATTTATATTTCTGTGTTTGTGTTTAATAACTCTAATAATAATAACAGTTGCACGTGTCTGTGTGTTTACATGCTGAAAATGAGCAAAGCTGTGAGGTCAAACAGCTCCACCATGTGGCTTATAAAGTAGATGCAGTCATGTGCTATCTTTCTTCTTCCTTCTTTCTTTCCTTTCCTTCTTCCTCACTTGTATATTTTACATCTTTCTCCATTTTTTGACAAATCAAAACAAATAGATGTTTTTCTTTAATTACATCTTCCACATGGAATTACAATATTTTAACTAAATGAATTACTTTTTTGACTAAAACAACAAAGGCTAAGGTGTCTGGATATATATTTTACATTGGAAATTATTTTTTATTATTATTATTTATTAACTGTAAATTATTACTTGCTTTTTTTTTAAATTTCTAGCCATGTTTCCTGTCACTACTATGTCTAAGGAAGTGTTGAAGTAGAAAAGTCTCCAGTTTCTGCTCTGTTCAAACCTCTGACTCTCTCTCTGTGTGTGTGTATGTGTATGTTCAGTGCCATCGGAGCCAACCCTCTGTACTGTGACTGCCGTCTGCTCTGGCTCTCAGACTGGGTGAAGAGCGGCTACAAGGAGCCCGGCATCGCCCGCTGCGCGGGGCCCCGCGGCATGGAGGGCAAACTGCTGCTGACCACGCCGGCTGATGAGGTCCAGGG